ATTCCTGAGGGTACGATTCGTCTTTGTCTTGACAAAGGGGCTCACTGCCTCTGTCAGATGGAACAGAAGACTATCTTTCAGGCAGATGAGGAAAAGTTTCTCTAAGCAATGTTTGTTTTATTAATAGGAGGACTCTCTTAAAACAGGCTATCCAGCCTCAGGAAGAACCATCAGGCAGGCAATAACTCCAGCATTTAGGAGAATATGGGAAGGGGGATTTTAAAGAAGTTATACATACCCGACCTCTTAACCTTGATTTTTTGTAACAGATATTCCAGAGTTGAAATCTTTGGCATTTTGTTAAGAAATGTTTACCAAAATCTAAGTATCAACCAGAGATCAAGCCAGTAGCCTAAGGTTAGGACCACTCTGAACTAATGCCAGACATCATGCCTCACTTGCATGAAGGTTAGTCAACAAGAGTTCACCTGTAATCAGCAGAGAGATCAGCATGACCAGAGGTGATTTCTCTCACCCTAAAACAAGCATTTATCAGATGGCTAATTTAGACAAGGAACCTATCTTTAGATGGCTGTAATCAGGCAGATGAAATCCCATTGTAAGAATCAGTATCTGTTACTAACACTGTCTTTTCTGGGCGGCTATTTAAAGCCGTATCTCAATTAAATTCTCCCTCCAAACTTCATCTCTGTGCTGAAAAATACAAGAAGTTTAAAAGCAACTATGCTAAAAGTTCAAATATATTTCCTTCTTGCCTCTTACTGCCTTAATCTTTTCTTTATTAGGGCCTGGAAAAGTGTCTGGGAGCACCAACTCCCTTTTTCCTTGGAAATGTTCCTTTGCAACTAATAGCATGAAATTCTCATGTTGCCACAGTCATATGTGCCCCAACAAAACAAGTTGAGACACATGAGACAGGTACATGCAAATCAGAAACCCTGATGACTGGAATGTAGTTGCTTTTACTGCTAATCACGGTGCATTAAGCAGCCAGATATCTTTCAGCCTGCATAATCTCAAAAATGACTTAGTGGCACGATGAAATGTTATGTAAAAGTAGTATGATTTTTCTGAGTGAGGCCTTGATAACTCCTGAAATCGCATCTTACTTTCCAAGTAAGAAAAAGCCAAGGCAGCACTGGAATGGAAACCCACCTGAAATTCTGCATGAACTGCCGAAATTTGCTGGCTCTCTTGGCCAACGGCACAATGACATTAATAAGTGTGTCAGCCATATTGACATTTTCGGTTTTCACTTTCATTACAGGACCGAATGGTCGGAATAAAACAATCTTCTTGAACTGATGTTTCGTGTCTCCTTTGAAAGTCAGCTCATACAACGTGCCTTTGTCTTTTTCTGTGCGGTAGATCCCTGTGTGAAAACAAAAGAGAGGAGATTTTGGATTAATGCTGGGCTCCTGGGGGAAAAAAAAAGATGCAGTCTTCATGTGTTACACCTAAGCTGAAAAGGCAGCAGAGGCATAAGCTATTTACTTTTAAATCAGTACGCAATCCACCATGGTTTGGAGGAGGCTGTCACTCTGGCAGGGACACAGCCCTGGGCTGCAGGAGCTATTTGGTATTCTTGCAGGCACATTCCTGGGCTTGGCTGAGTTACAGACCCCTGAAGGTTACCAATTGCTCACGCTCAATATAACCCAGCAGACATACTGTCCTTATTTTTCAGACTGCTCCAATGGTACACTGCAGGCACGCATGGTAATGGTGATGCAGAGAGCGAAAGGCAGCTTGCCCCTCTGCAATATGAGGGATTAGGCCATCTCCCAGAAAAGCAATTTCCCAATGAGCACAATCATTTCCTTCTTTCTGGGAGGTTCTCTGGAAAGACCCCCAGTAAAACTATGCAGCCAGGCCCCAGGAGCCATCAACTTCACCCGTTGTGAATCAGGACAAAACTCTCCTGTTACTCAGCTCTCAGGAGACTTTTATTTTCTTCGTGGCAATGATGCCCACTCCTCATTGAGTAATGGTCTGCAATGATGACACAATGGAGTTTGTCAGAGACTAAACTCAGGACACAATCCACGGTCTCCAAGGATTTTAATTCATACAAACATGTACTTATTCCCTTTATGGACTGACCTTTTAACATACTCGATGTGTGAAATGGATCCCATGCTGACTTGTTAAGCCACTGTAAACATACTAACAACTTCATCAGTAGAAGGATATAATTGCCTTCCATCTCTTGCAGAAACTCAAGAGACAAGCAAAACATGGCTGGAAAAAAACTCTACTTGTCTTATTTCTTCTATTTTTTTCTCCCCATTTGGGAGAATGTGAAGAACAACTTGACCAAAATGATGCTTTTTTTAAATTATTTTTAATCTTAGTCGTTCCCTGGTGCGTAACATTGCTGTGCGTCCAACCCATCAACTGTCAGCTCTGTCTGTATTTCTTGTGAAGGTCTGGGTCAAAGCTGCCTTTGAACAGCAAAGTGACATAAGGTCTTCATCTTGTATTGTAGCTTTTACACTTGTATGTCCAGAACATCCAAAAGATTAATGAGGTGTGATTGTATCTGGCCAGAGTTCTGAGGACTGTCTTGTCTTCACTATCATTGTGCAACCATTTTACTCTTAATGAACACTTCGGTTGGTTAATACTACATGCAGATTTACTGATCTGTTATTCAATTCATGTTTTATTTTTAATATAAGCTGATTCAACAAATCCTTCGATCCTCCCTCCAGCATGGCAGATGAATCTAGTGAGACAGCAGCTCCACCATTCTTTTACTGCTAATCTTTTAAAGCTGGGCCCTTGACTTGCCCCAGCTTTTTCTATATAGTCTGCCCAAGGTGCAGACCATGAACTACATCTGTTATGCAACTTGAGCCTGCACGTGAGTTCATCCTCCTCCTGGTGGCCAGAAAATAGAAATCTGGGCCTTTGAATGCTGCTCGCCATTCATTCTTACAGAAAGCCTGCTGATGATCTGAGTGTGATGCTGGGTGCACTCCTTTACTCAGGCAGTTCTCGAACACAGCTCTTGCCAAGGAAGTTTGAGTTGTGGAAGGCAAAGGCAGCCTTTTGACATTAAGCTAAACAAAAATCTAAATTAAATCTGATTTGCATTTTCTCTAGAGAGAAATAGACAGGACTGTTTCATGTTTGACATAGTGGACTGACATTCTTCATAATAACAAAGATATAAATTAAATTAACCAATTTAATAATATCTACCCCGCAACATCTCAAATTATTTGCTTCTACATCCTCTTCTACTCCAGCCAAGAAACAATGACCCCACAAATACCACTTCCCCAGAGATATGTGTGACGTGTGGAATAAAGGAATCTTTGCCAAATAAGCAAGAAGCACCTTAAAGCAGAATGAACGTTGTGACCCAAGGGGTCTCTCTTAGTGCTATGCACACATCAGCAGAGGCTGTTTCTGTCTCTGTAGTTTTGTTCTTGTTCAGGACTTCTGCTGCAGCTAAAAATAAGCAGCTTCAGTGAAGGCCAGATTTCCTCGCGTGAGACAGTAATCGAAGAATTTATAATCCTAACATTTTATCTTGAAGAGAACTACATGTAAGTTTAATGCAGGTAATTAAATATAGTTATTCTTGATGCACATTTAAACCATTTGTTTTCCTTTTTTAAGCATCTTCTTTCCTTTTTAAAGTATCTTCTTTTTAGAAGTAGAGAATGAAGCGATTTGCCCAAGGTCAGGCAGTGAGCCTTGGAAATGAGTCTGAATGTCTTGAGTCACTCTGGGGACTCACCCAGCAGAACACCCTGCCTTTCACAAGATCTTTCCATTTCCGAAGGCACTGCTTCGTTTGTGCCATCAGGACTTTTTACGTGATTCAGAGAGATGCATCAAGCAGTCTCAATTCTAAGAGATGAGCTACAAGGAGGGGAAAAAAGTAGTCTTAAAAAAGTAAAATAAAAAACTTTTTCCTGAAAAGGTTGCTCCTGAAATTAAAGCCTTGAAAAGGAGAGATGTTCACTATGGATAAAAGAAGATTATTTTACCATCTGTTGCTTACACTACAGCAGCTGTGTTTCAGAATACGCACTGTTCCTTTCGGAAGCAGTGAGAAAAGTCAAAGCCTTGGAAACTCAATGTAAAAAAGTGAACAGGAGCTTTGGGTCAGCAGAGAGACTGGTCCTAAAATGAAGGGAAAGGACAAGCGAGAAGCTAAAAATACCTGTACTGAAGGGTTGAATAAAGAGCAGTAAGTGTCCAGTCTTTGGAGCAGCGATTCACAGAGCTCCCTAAACCTGACCTCTATTCAGCAGGGCAGGCAAACAGGTTTCAGAGATCTGCACAGAGCTGATAACCAGCAAACAGCCACGCAACCTTCACAAAGTGCTGTTGAGTGGATGACAATTTTAGCCTCAGTTCCACAGACCATTGGTTTCAGGTCTCCTACTGTCAACAGAAACACTCCTTGGGCCTGTGCTCATAACATGTTCTGTTAGATGTTGCAGGAACCGCTATTAGGATTTACCAGCATTCATTGTCCCCATTTTAACTCAATATGACACTGATCTTCCCACTTCACATGGAGTAAAATTCAGCATCTTATCCTTTGAGGAACTACATCATTCTTTCTCCCAATAGTCTTCCAGGTCAAAACTGCATCAGGCAGCTCACCACCACCACTAGCTGTCAATTTGAGAAAGCAAAGCTACTCCTTTTCATTTGTCTCCAAGACCTTATTTAAAATTCCAGCCACTAGACAGTCACGTACTTCAGGTAGGAAAACTTATGATACAGCAGATTTGACAGTATCATGGCAGAACATTTCTAAAGCAATCTGGGGATTTTCTGGAACGGTTCTTGTTGTTTAAGAGTATCACCAGACAGTGATTACATTCACTTATGGAACACACCACTCAGGCTTGTCAAAGTCTGCAAATTATTATCTCCGTATTTGAAAAAATGAATTACTTCCAAATCTATTCAGCTCTGCTGCCATTTATATAAATTAATGACCAGACCTGTTATTCTGTCCACTGGGCAACCGGCTTTCTGTTGGAAACAGATCAGTGCTTTGCCTAATTACAATACACAGAAATTTCTCATCTTTTCCATACTGTTTCTTACTAACTCCTCATTGCAGAAAACCAGTGAACTTGGTATAGAAGTGGAAGGGACAAGGGAGAGAGAGGAGGATTATAGCAGCTGAACAGCCCAAGTGCCTCTCTCCATTTTTCCACTTTAATTAATCAATTTCAGGTACTCATAAGAGTTTGAGCGACCATGAATAGTAATTTCCTGTTCTTTATTGCTATGAATCTAAATTGTGTAAAATGCCTTACACTGTTAAAGTACATATATTTTCAGTTACAGCTGAAATCTATATATATCAAATACGAAGTTCTGATAATAAAGGCATGGGATTATGGAACATGTTACTCTTAGAGAGCAGCAGTGCAGCAGCCAGATGGACATGTTTCAGGCCCCGGGGAGAAGGTGTGGTTCTCTTGGTTCTGAATAAGAAAAAAAAGTGGAAAATTCCACCACGTGTCAGCTATTACTCCTGGAAGGAGAACTGTCTGAGAATTCTATCCAAATTTCATGTAACAGCAAATCTGCTGAGAAGGAGTTTAGCTCAGATGTAAGGTACTAGGGTCACAGTCTAATTCCCACGCACAAGTGGTTCTGTCTGGAAACTGCAGAGGATGCAACGCTTATTTTAAGAGATCCCAGTCACAGAGACAAAACATTTCTCCTTAAATGTAAGAAGTGTTTCAAGAAATATTTTCCCTCTGCAAAGACAAGAATAAAGGCACAAAATGGAAAAGAGGAAGAGATATAGGCCCTAATCAAATTTATTGCACCACACCAACACCCTGCTTGTTGGCATATGTTAGCAATGAACTGGTACTGAAAAAGTGACAACAGGTACCAGATGTGACACACAAGAATAGAAAAATCCACATAAGAGGCCCAAGGAAACAAGATCAACTTGCACCACTCTCTACGCTAGTGAGACTTGGGATCAGCAAGACACTTGGATAAAGCTGGTGTCAAAGGCTTTGCTGAATTGAGCAGAAACAAAGACACAAGTCTCACATATCAAGACCAGCAGTTCAGGTTTTGAATCCTGTCTCTGACCTTGACTACCTGATTTTTATTTCAGCACATCCCTCCACTTGCTGAACCTCAATACGAGGGCAGTAGACCCACCTTTAACATAAGAGATGCATACAGCTTGTGTGTGCTGTTAGTGCTAAAGCAGCTGGAAGATAAAAGCTTACAGGGTTAAGTGGTGTTACTTTCAGTGCAGATCTGGGTCACATCTCCCAGAAAGCTCCAGCTACTCTGAGCAGCTCCAGAAAATGAAAACAGCTGGCTTTACTGGCTGGATAATACCACTCATGGTTGCTGTGTTTCTGGATTGGGACGAAGCTGCCTAAGCTGCCATGGAATCCAGCCTGTTGCTAACTTGTTGTGTAGGCAGTGGCACCTGCAGAGCACTGTCTCCAAAACAAGTTCTGAGCCCAAACCATACTTGAAATGCAGAATTGGAACAAAAAACTCAGTCCTCTCTTCTGCTGCTCAAGTTATACAGAGCAATGGATTTGTCTGTGCTTCGATCAGCAGTTTTTGCTGTTCTTGGAGAATGGAGGACGGGGGAAAGAGACTGCCAAGAGATGACAGAGACTTCCAAAGGTACTCTGCAGGGAAATCTTCTGCCAAGTCAGCTCTTTGTTTTCAGCCCTGATGCACAGATCCCTGCATTTGCAAACAAATCAGTTTGCACTGCTCAGTAAGAATGAGAATTTATCACCTTGCACCTACAGAAGCAAAGGCCTCTCTTGCAGGGGAGGACACGAGGAAGGTTTCTTGAGCTCTCACTGAGCTGCCTGCAGGGCTCCAGTTTCTTGAGCTCCAAGTTGCACGCAGGGCTTCTGGATTATTTCACCATGGTATGTGAAAGCCAGCAAGGCCATTAGCACATGAAGAACCTCCACAGAGCCAGCACTGCAGGGTGCATCCCTTCCCCACGCCTTTCTGCACACCAGATTCTGCTTTGTTCTGCAAGGACAGCACTGGTATCCAGGCAAAGACCCTTGATTGTGCCTAAAGGCAGATTCTATCAAAAGGGTAACTTTAATGGAATATTGAACAACGTATGTCAGGAAACATCTCCTCCTTTCCTCTCACTCTCTCTCCATGAAAGAGCTGGTGCCAAACAGTCATACATGCTTGTGTAATAAACAATAGAAGCATATTGTGAATTGATAAACCAAACAAACAGAAAGAAGGAGACTGGAAGCACGTAGCTCCATGATACATTCAAATGCTGGCAGCCAGCAGTACTTCTCAGTTCCCTGCCCATGCCCTAGTCCCACATCTGAGCAAGAGGAATTTGACTGGTATGGAGGAAGTGCCTGGACCAGAGGGGAGCCAGGACCTTCCTGAACAAGGTCTCCGCAGTGTGAACAACTCATGTCACTTCTGTGGGAAGCACCTGCCTGACTGGCAAGTATATCCTGGCACAGCCTTAAGAACCTACTGTCTCTCAATACCATGACTGCCAGAGACACATATACAGAGAGTGGAAATGAACAACTGGCTATTGCACAACAGCAACAGCTCGTCCTCGTCACAGGGAGGATGCATTTTGCTCTGCTCTGTTCATAAATATCAATGAAGAAAAGAATCCACAGCAAAATCACCAGTGATTTGGCATAAGCATGGAGACTTGTGTTGAGCATATTAGAGCAGTCGTTCCATAGAAGGTAGGCATCTTACCCACACGCCCTCTAAGTCTGAAGCACAAACGTCTGAAGATGAAGAAGACAAATTTTTCCTTGTATACTAAATTCAGCTAGGTCAGCCATGGATTAAATCTCACTTACAGACAACACTACTGAACAACACGCAGAGAACACACCAGGTCCTATGAAGTGAAACTAGGACAGACATATTACAAGTAAAATTGTAGCTCTTAACAAATGAGAAGCAGTCGTGATCCCTTGGAAACGAGATCTGTGAAATCTTGTCTCATTTCATGTTTCTGCTGCACATGTTCTGACCCTTTTAACTCAGGGCTGCCATGTAGCAGGGACTGACCTGAACAGGTATCAATCACAGAGACATCACAACTCCTGGAATACATCTGGTGCCTCTGCCTGTCTGGGAAAAAGTAGCCTGACCAGGAAAGAGCAGTCTGACTGGAAACAAGTATGCACTTCAGACTTAGTGACAGAAGACATGAAGCAAAAACTGGTTCATGTTAAAAGTGGCACGTTAAAAATCCACACTTACTGCCTCAATATTACACATGAGGGTAAAGACTGGTTAGCTCATTTTAGAATCCAAAGGCAAAGGTGCACCACTCCCAGTATAGGAGATACCCTGTAAAGGTTAAACTTTCCTCGTCATTTGAAGATACAGGTGATACCAGCTGAGTTACTGAGTTCCTCAGCTGCTGTCCTCCAAACCTGTCTTGCCACTCTGACTCTGGCAGAGCTGTGCAGGTGGAAGTAAAGGTAACACTGGAGTTTGGATTTGAGCTATGGTTGTCAGTCTTAACACTGGTAGCAGATCTGGGATTGCAGCCTCGTCACTCACTCCTTGCTTTGTCAGTTCTGAGGCACGCGCATGACCAGACAGCTGTGAGCACACATCGACGGTCACTACGAGAGGCTGGCAGGCTCTGTGTCACAAAGACCTGCTCCCCAGGAAAGCTGCCATTCCACAGTTGTGCCTAAGACAGCATCGCTGGGCACTAACACTGCTCCAGACATCTGTGCTCTAAGATACAGCCCATCTCCTTCAGCAGCACAGTCTCACCAGAACCCCTCACCAGCACTACATGGACCTTCTAACCTGTCTGTATACAAACCTTCAACGAAGTCAGAGGCTGTGTATACCCGGTGTTTTGCATTGCTGTCCCCCTCTGGATTGTTCAAACTCCCAACAGCTAACTCGATCACCTCTGCCAACTCATCTCGCTTATCCTTCCTTACAGGTTTCTCTTCTGGGTGACGTGTCAGCCCTGTCTCCAGTTGGTACACCTTCTGCAGAGTAAAGCTCTCAAAGGGCACGGCCGCATACTCCGTGGACAGCTTAACTCCACTGTGCACCTCTGCTTTGTCTATTTGGGAGTGGAGGAAAGCCAGCAAGTTAGTCTGGGCCTTCTCCGGGTTACTGTGGTCAAGCCGAATGTCCAAGGGGTCTGGGTACTGGTCCTGCACGTTCTTAAGCAGCTCGCCCCTGCCCTGGAGCTCAGCCTTCAGCTGAGCAATTTGTTTCTTCAAGCTGATGATGTAGTTGCGGTGTTGCTCCTCTCGCTCCTGCAGAATGGCTTCATATCCCTCCTTCACAGTCGGGCTGTGCGCCCTGGGCAAGGCAAGCTGCTGTTTGTCACCCTTAGGTGTGCAAGCCAACATATAAACAATAGACACTGAGCAACAGGCCACCACCAGCAGGCCTACGAGTCGGGGGAGAAATAGAATAAATCCTCGTCGGAGCATCATCTCTCAAAAAGCAGAGTCTAACCTCACACATACAACAGTTCTTACATCCATGCAGTGCCACAGAAGCCCCTGGACTTGGAGTACTCTTACACAGATGCATGTATGTGCAGGAGCTGGCTTGTCAGCTCTCTTAAAACATGTGCTCTGCCTCTGTCTTGGGCACTCTCTGGTGTTTACCCAGCAGGAACAAAAGACAAGCTGCGAAGCAGACAGGACACCTCCTGATCCTCTTGGCAACACCTACACTGCTGCGATGTGATCAGCTGGTGGCTGATGGAGCCTGAGGACCTGAAAGACAAATGACAAGGACAGACATTCAGGCACGTTAGACTTTGGTCATTCAGTCCAGACCACTGAAGGTGTTCTAAGAATTCACCTCATTTCTCAACTGCTCTGGCAGATCACAGAGCTGTGAAGTGCTCGTGCTAAGATCCAAAACGTGCCAAGAGCCTTACGTGGGAAATCCTGTATGCATGCATTTAATTTTAATGATATGGCTTGGCCTGTTGCCAATGAAAAACTAGTCCAGGCCTCAAAGTCTGCCATGCTTTAGAAATATTAGGAAGTTGTCATCTGTCACTTTCTGGTGAGATGTTAAGGTGCTCTGTTCATCTGAGCAATGATGGCCCTCCAAGTGTTCTCAACTTTTGGAGCACTCAAATTTTGAAGGCAAACAGTCCTATAGCTACCGCATCCATTTCAGCTTGCAGGCATGTTTTGCCAAAACACCAGGTGGCGAATGTGGTCCTGTTTGAATATATGAAGCCCAGCCTGGAGCAGAAATTTGATAACCAAGAAACTAGGAACTGATATCTAGACCAATTGCTGCAACTAGCGTTGTTTGACATATCCTACCAGATGCTCCCATAAAATCCGAAGAACTAGGGATAGCATTTTTTCAGGAGCATTCAGATCAAGCCTTACTCAAAATCAGGGAAAGCTTTGTTTCCACCTAGGAGGCTGTCATCATTGTACACTCTGTTATCATTTTAAGGCCCTCTTCTGTTTCTCCTAACGCTATAAAAAGTCTTGCGACAATGCACAGTACTACTGTGTTTTCCACACATGCTCTCTGCCCAGGAGTCAAGACCACAGAGCAGTTTTAGAGAAAACTGGCTTAGGTATGTTTTAAAATAAGAGGAGTTAAAACTGTGAACGTTATAATTTTCAGTACGACTTCCTCAAGTATACTTAAAAACAGGAAAGAAAAATTAGATGACTGAACACAAATATTCACCTAGCTATAAGCAGCATTAAAACAATTATTTTTTGAGAACTATCAGTGGGATTTTCAAAATCCCTCAGTTTTGGCCCAAATCCATGTTGATGCAAGAAACCTCGTCATTTACTCAGCTGACAGTAGACTTGGGCCAAGGCTGAGTAACATCCTAGATTATACTGTGGGGCTGCATTATTAGACTTGAACACAGTCGAATTAACCCTCTCCCTTTGGATGCATTCATGGTATTATGACACTGCTTTTGACAGTAGAGATTCATAGTCCTTTTAGTCATACATCCTTCTGGCAGACCCTTAGGTAAAAACAGTTGATCTAAGAGTTTCAGAGTTATTTTCAGTTATTTCTAGTCTTGAGTCAAAGTCTTCTGTAGGACTTTTTATCAACCTCTACATGACTTCCACCCCTGTGTCTTGACTATATCTCTTCATAACTCTATACACAGCAGTTCTGAAGAGATATTCCTGATATTTGAAATGTTATCGATATTTTATCAGTCTGCAGAGCTTCTAGAAAAAAAAAACACTTTTAAAGTAGGAATAGGGAGGAGTCTGCAGTGAGCTATAAAAATATTACTGTCTTTTTCTCAAAGTAATGCTGAATGGCTATCATAGCATTTATAAGATTATCCAGAAAATGGCAGCGTTTTCAAAGGAAGTATTGTTGGTATTGAAGAAAATATTCAAGCAGCAGGAAAAAGGACAGGATGAAGTCGGCGCCCTTACCTTTTTGCCGTGATCTTCTTTTTGGAACATCTTGGTCTGCTACAGCTACTTCTCAGTTTGCCACAATCATCTCCTGTTTATCACCCTTCTTATGCTCTTCCCAGAAAATGTGCGTGCTATAAAAAGCACTGTCAACCTCAGCACACCTCTTCATTGCTTTCGCATTTGCCAGCTGCCTACATCTTCAGTCTGTCTCCTGTGTAGTGAAAGGCTGTAGTGAAGACGCTTCCTATGGATGTACTATAAAAGCTGGCCTCCTGCAATGTAAAGGAGCTTGTCAAAGCAGGGAAGATTAATCTGGGCATTTCTAACTCTACAACAGATCTAACTAGAAGACTGCAAGAAGGTAGTGTGCAGTGAGACAGGGTCAGGAAGTGGTAAGATGTAGTGCATAAAACACTGCTGTGCTTGTATGCTTCACTTCACACAATTAGTCCATTGACTGAATTGGCAGAAGCTGAACATCACTGAAAGGATTAGTTGTGCTAACATGGTATAAACTGAAATTACATCTCAATGGCTTAGATAAACACACTATTTCATTTCTATAAGCAGCAACAGGCTCGAGTTTTGGATAAAGAGCTCTTCAAATGTTGACCTTAAAATGTATGTGTGTATATATAGCTATCTTCACTAAAACATACTGGGTCTCTCTTCAGAGTATTCCTTCTTTCCTATGCAGTTTTTGGTTTTGTAATCTCACCCATCAAAGACTCATCTTTAAAAACACTTCAGGACAGTCAATTAACTGAGCTACTTTGTCCTTTGAACCACCATTCTCATAACAAGAAATTCAAGCCATGAGGATTCCCCGCTTCTTCGGGGATTTTACCGCCATGACTGGATGCCTCCTGACATCAAACAGTCATTACCTGCCCTCTGTTGCTAGATCTGTCTCATTAAACTGTACTGGTGGCTGTACCTTACCGTGACTGACATTTAGATATACAGCTGTTACTGTACCACTGTCTCATGGGCATGCCTGTGAAAGCAGTCCCAATCCATGTCAGTGCCAAAAAAAGCAGATTACTTTAAGCCAACACTGAAGGTGGTCACAGCTGAGGCATCTCAGCTGCACAGACAGTACCAGAAAGCTAAGGATGGTAACTCCTCCTAACAACCGTTCTGTTGATTTCACCAGACCTACACAGTTTCACACCAACTGAGAGAGCCTGAGATGAAGGGGAGAAAAACTGAAATGTCAGTTTTTTCCAGGAACTGACAAAACCACCTCTGTATTTCACAGCAGTCAGCTGCACCAAGTAGCATTAATATATTTGCAAAGAGAAGCTTTAAGGAGTATACAGTGGTTAGTCTGATAGCTGAGGACAAGGACATTAATTCTAAACCAATCTCTGTTTGCAAAAGCATCTTCAACCTCAGCTCGACTTGTTAGCCCAGCCAGAGGTCAGCCCAGCTCACAGAGGTGCTTTTCATTTGTTTTCAAGGTCCCTGGGCCTGAAAATGATCTAAACACAGAAACAGGTTCTGTCATGACTGTAAGCACTGTGCAAATGGCTCTGCAGAGTGAAGGGTGCTGCACCCCATCACAGAGAGTGGAAAAACTTAAGAAAGTCGGTTGGTTTGAAATTTTGGATGGTATGCACCCACAACTGTTACCAGCATCTGGATTTTTACTAGTCTGCAGAGATACAGGAAATTTATCTTTGCACAGAAAAGACAACGTATTTCAAGCCTGAATTTTTGACTGCCAAAAATCAAACTGAGAATTTGTGCAGAAGAAAGAGACTCAAAACAATACATCCCTGTATATGTATCTCCCCTGTGAGCTCTACACTCTCCTCACTCCTCATGTCGAGGACAGAAATGGATGGCAACAGAACAGTCGTGTTTGCAGAGGCAGAGATCTCTCAGCACATATGGCATGGGCAATGCCAAATAATTCCACATTTTCAAGTACTTTATGCCACAGCTTCCTATTGCAGGTGTAACTGAGACTGGTAACTACTATTTTAGCTCACAACATTTTTTTTAATTCCTTTTTTTTTTTTTTTTTTTAATTAGAAGCAGTGAATGGTAGAAGCTGTAATTTTCGTGTAGGTGTTTGAAACATCTTCACTGAACGGCAGCACACCTCACAATGAGATTTCACTAGAACCATGTTAATCTCCAAAATGAGCTGCAGGGAGGAGGAAACAGATGTTCGCTGAGGCTTTAAGTGTCTTATGAAAAAAAAAAAAAAAGAAGACATTCTGCAGCCACTTGGCATTTGCCTTGAACTTTTTAATTACAAGAACTGCACATAGCACTGCAAACAAATTATTCTGCTTTAAATGTTAGGGACAAGATTTTGCCTCCTTAGCCTCCCGACAGAAATTCAAGACACTCCGCAGAATGGGATATGTCACAAGGATTAAAATCTAGTCTTACACAAGTGTTTAAAAGCATGTGGAGGGAATACAAAAAAATTATTTCTCCTTAATGCCAAATCATGATTTCTGAACTATTTCTTAGCCCAGTTCATCTGCCCGGGGCTGAATTGAACAAAAGGCTGAATTAAAAAAACCCGCCTGTCTGATAAACTGACAGGGTGCACCTTTCTAGCCTTTCCTGTATTGTTCCCTGTTAAAAACCACTCCACTGCTCCCTCTTGGATTGACACTCACACATCCCGAACAAACCACTTAAAATCCTAACATCTGGTTTGCAACTGATAGAGCACTTGAAACAGAAATAAAAGATTGTTAAGAAATAGTGTCCTGAATCAAAATGCTAAATGACAGTACTTGAAGACAATAGACAAGTTCATGTAAAAATCTTCATTTCTTAATCTTTGATTCGAGAGTCATCTTCAACAGAAAATTGTCACGCATACTCTCAAAGAGAAAAGACTTGGTATCTAACCCTGCCTACAGAATGCCAGACAATGTCACTGTTCCTCTCTGTAGTCAACAATTACAATCTGATCATCTTGCACATAGGTTACAACAACTATTAGATGCAGTCTTAAACAAAACAAGAAATGCTCAAAGGATTAATGCTCCTGGAAATACTATGTTTTTGTCTTGTGTGGGAAC